GGTACGTTCCATTGTTCGTGCGTACAATTGCACGTTCACAAACAGAACTCACCTTAACTCAATCCGTAAGCCGATGTCCAAAGCACTCTTACAACATGAGAGGTGAAGGGACTTTGATCTAAAATCTCGAGATTGTTCACGTTAAAGGCCACTAAAATGTGGATCAGGCACTATAGCAACCACACGTGATAGCAAAAAGTAAACCATTCTGCACGGTTTGTCTAATCCCAACCGCTCGAATCACTGAAACAATACATGTGACTGGTATCCATCTTAGAAGCTATCCCAGCAGTGTGGCAGGATTTGCATGTGAGAAACATGAGCAAATCTTTTTTAAGCTTCGCTTTTTTAATGAACATGGCCATAACATCGATCTGTTACATCACCCATACTGTAATGTCAGATGCCAACCCCTATAGGCATATTTGACTCACATGAAATATATGTTCACTTGTTATATTGATTGGTTTATATTTTAACAGCGCATTCGTTGCTTTGCTACTAGTTCAGTACGCTACTGTGTCTAGTACAATGTGTCTGGCTCAGTGTATCCCGTGTCTGTGTGTATGTTTTTGTCGTCAGTTGTGCTGAGAGTGACCTTAGCGAGACGTGCCAAATGTCATCGCAGTTGGCTGAGGCCCAGAGGTCCTTGTACACACATACCGAGCTGGTATCTTGTCAACATTCTTATCGTCCTCTGGCCCCCCTCTCTCTCAATGTCACACGCACTCGCCTAGCCGTCTCCTCGCTTACAGTATCTATCTGGGACAGGGAATTCCTAGGGACGATCGAGTGCCAAATGTTTCACAAAAACCTATTGGAAGTGTCAGCGGAAGATATGAATGTAAACATGTTCCGGAATACCTTTGCGACATTCCGACATACCATACGAGATGTGAGTGGATCACGACTCTGACACCTGCTATTTGAAGGATGATGACACAGGAAAAACGGCCGTGCTTAACGCCGGGAGCGGCCATTGTCGTAGAAATAACGGAAACAGATGACATCGACGCTGAATATTATATATTTTACGCAAATCCTCATCGTCGAAGCTTACAGGTGCAGGAAGTTCGTCATTTTTTCGGCTCGTTTTTTTACACTGAACATGAGGAGCGGCACCAGATGTGCTGGATCATCGCTGAGGATCATCCCACCTGCTTTCTTGTCCCGTTACTTATTGCAGTTGATAAAACGGATGAGGACGAACTCATGGAATAGCTTGAAAAAAAAACCAAACATAAACGGAACAAATTTTCGCATTTATCCATTTCCGAGTAGCTAATCCGAGATATGTGTGGGGGCTTCATGACCACGGAATTTGCATGACTTGCTGCTCAGAATGACTATACCGTGTTTCGAGCGACCGCATGGAGTTCACAACTTTTTGATGATACGGTTATAGTCCCGAAACTCTTATATTTTATGTCTGACATGCTTTGCCATTTTGACAATTGTGATGAAAATCACGGCACCGGTGCTTCTGAACTATGATCTCGAACTCAAGTTGATCTGATATTTGGTGCCTGTACGCGTGCAGAAATGTGCAGTGCAGTGCACAGTTAAGGCCTGGCTATACACTATGCGTTTTCTGCGTGCGTTTTTTGCGGGTTTGCGGGTTTTGCATAATATCGTTCAAGAGAAATAAGCGATATTACGTTTTTGTGTTGCTTTTTACATTGAGTTTTAGTTAATATAAGAGAAATATTAACTTTTATAGCTAACTAATGTAAAAATGATATTATTTATAACATTTTTCTATAACGATATTACGCAAAAAACGCAAATCTGAAAAAAACGCACGCAGAAAACGCATAGTGTAGCCAGCCAGGCCGTCACACGCTTCAGCTGTGGACGAAACGTAACAGCTGCTATGAAGTTCCTTAACCTTTGATGACGTTGAGGCAGTTGAAGTGTGGATGCAGCTTAAGCCCTGTTGACATGTCATTACTTAGCGCTCTGCTTATGAGTGATTATTTTACCTCTGTGAAGATTGACTTTTTTCTGTGGGAAAGTTCATGCTGTTTTCTATTGAAGACAGAAGGACAAAAATGCATCCTTTATGTTACCTATATTTTATTTAAAGTGTATTACGTCTATCCATCTTTCGGGTTATTGTCTAAATGAAGATATCATAACTTATTTCAAAGCCTCCCTCTCCTGTGAGTCAGTGGCGCATTTCTAAAAGTTCTGTGCAAGGTTCCGGGTAAAGTGTGCGCCAGACTGTTTACAGCTGACGCTCCAGAAAACCCAACATCCTTTACGTCAATGGCAATTACATTCAATGCCGTTGAGCAAATCGTAATGCATTGATTCTTTTAGCCTCTCACATTTTCCCATTAATGTCAATTTAGTTATACACTAGAGATGGTGAGTAAACCCAAAATTTCCTACCAAATATCGGTGTCCGTGGGGTGCAAACATGTCAAGGCCTCTGTTTTGAAGCCCAGGGTGTATTGTTCTGTATCAGAGGGATGTCTACGATTGGAAGGTAAGTACCAAAATTAAGCGTTCGACAACGCATTCTACACAATCGGGACATCCTTGATCAGTCATTGTCTAATTACATCTATACGCGGCGAGGCAAGCAGCAACTAGGCTGTGGGACGTGTGTGCCTTGAGCTTATTACGGCGACTAAAAACGCAATAATGTGACGAGGGATATAAGTGATATAACCTATGGTGTCTTTTGCTACTCGTTTTCCTCCGCAGTATTTGTTGAATAGAGAGATGAGCGGCTAAAACATCTTGCTGGGAGCAAATGCATATGTATATTCAATATAACATATTATCACTCAGTCATAATTTTGAGGAGTTTGAAAAGCTGGTTGAAATTTCACACAAGTCTCAAAAGGTAGGATTTAGATTGGCATGCGCGTATTTTCTCCAGAATTTCTGCAGTGATCTCTTAGTAACAGAAAGGAACAGCACAATACTGCTGGAAAATCCTATGTTTTTATAACGAAGTTCCACGGACGCATAAATAAAAAGAAATAATTTATATCTCGGGTTGGATGTTTCCCAAACAATAAGAAGCCCCCATATAACGATATATCACAATGATGCCAATTCGGGTCAAGACCACTTGGGGCGTAACATTTGTTAGCCTCGCTCCATAAAACCCATATTTTCTCAGAAAATACAGACCTCACTGCTCTCTCCCCCAGTCTCGTACATCCTAATGGTGGGCGCCGCGGCAGCGGCCGACTATCGCTCGATAGTCTACCCTTTGCTCTGCAGACCACCCTCTATGTCGGGCAGCAATTTACTGCCGTCTTTTATACGGCCGATGGCGGGCGCAACTCGGTCACGGCAGGGCAGACGATGAGAGCGGTGGGGCCAAAGAGCTCGCTGTTGTATCCCTGCCGGTCTGCAGAAAGGCGAGCGTGGGAGAGAGCCCAGCTGACTCCGAGGGAGGAGAGAGATGGAGATGGAGCGTGCAGATGGGGTGGGAGAGGGAGAGAGAGAGAGAGAGAGAGAGAGAGAGAGAGAGAGAGAGAGAGAGAGAGAGAGAGAGAGAAGAGAGAGAGAGAGAAGAGAGAGAGAGAGAGAGAGAGAGAAGAGAGAGAGAGAGAGAGAGAGAGAGAGAGAGAAAGAGAAAGAGAAAGAGAAAGAGAGAGAGAGAGAGAGAGAGAGAGAGAAGAGAGAGAGAGAAGAGAGAGAGAGAGAGAGAGAAGAGAGAGAGAGAGAGAGAGAGAGAGAGAGAGAGAGAGAGAAAGAGAAAGAGAAAGAGAGAGAGAGAGAGAGAGAGAGAGAGAGAGAGAGAGAGAGAGAGAGAGAGAGAGAGAGAGAGAGAGAGAGAGAGAGAGAGAGAAAGAGAGAGAGAGAGAGAGGCGAATGGAACATTGCGTTGCTAATGAGAGGAGAGGATAGAATTCAATGAATATTCTGGAATACGGACAGAGCGGATGTTTGTTACAAATGGATTAATTTTGATAACTAGTTTGATAAATAGCTGGAATACGTCTGCCACAAGTAAACACTATATGTAGACCTAGTGATGAGCTTAGTGTTACCACGTTTGCGCCTAGCAACAGATCTAGTCTGCCATAACTTGCTGCACTTGTGTGCCCTGTTTGATGATATTCATGCTTTTCTGGGTCACGTTTTGGTTTTATCAACTTATCCCTGTCAGCGCATATTAAGCCTTCCGATTGCTGAGCTTGTAATTCAAGCTAAGATACTCGCGTACTGAATCTGCTTTGAGATCTTCAAACCGCTACGTTTTTATATAGCATTTCACATCAACTCTTGCATAAACATTCTCGACTACCGAAACAATACGACGCCAATTTTCATTGTTTGCGGTTACCCGGACCGTTTTGCAGGTGTTCTTTTCAGGCTCAATCCACGCTAAGTACTTAATTTAGCACGTGAAACGGATGTGGCCAGCAGCTTGTGAACAGTGTGTCATGCAGGCTCGAAGCCGCTGAGCCGCGGCCCAGGCCGAGGGCCTTAGCGGCGCAGGCGGCCAACGGGGAGCTGGCAATGGGCGAGGTTTGTGGCCGGTCGAGCCGGTAACAGATGTTGATGGCGGTTATTAAACACTGCGGTGATGATAGCAGTAATCGAGCGAAAGAATGCTTTCTAGCCCCAGTCTCAATAAATCATGGAGTGGTGTTTACATAAACTGTATGCTGATTTGTTATGCCCAATGTTTCTGGTGCAGACATTGGTTTTGAGGTCACCTAGGATTTGACAAAAGGTCATAAGATTAGTGAACTGAGTAATGTTGAACAGTAGGTATAGCCGCGCCGATCAAACCCAGTTCGTGAAGTGAGGCTGTTACGGTCGTGTTTTGTGACTATTGGCAAATCGGCGTATAGTCATCATGGCCCTTTGGCACCGAAAAACACCAACATAGTTGTATAAATGGCATAATTTTGAAGGCTGCAGTGTCACAATATGCAAGAAACTGGGACGGATAACCGTGCTTACAGTGATTCGCAAATACGGCAGGTGGATATACAACCACGGGACAGGTTAGATATGCAACTTACCGGTAAGTTATTGCTCCTTGGTCCTTGTCACGCCATGGGCAGACACACAAAGCCAGCCTCACTTGAATCCATCCAGATCGCCCTGAGAACGACGGTCATATCACATACATAGCAGAAGGAAAAGTCGGGAACAGTTCAGACATCCGTCTAAATGCATAACATGAATGACACAAACAATGTGGAACTACGGTAGCAAACACACTACGGCACACTGCACAATGCACAATGCGGACTTCTGTTTGGAAAGATGCCACACAGTAGAGCTTATGCAAGATTAAAATGATTTCAATAGCCAGCTATCTAATTTCAGTCCCAACGACTCACACCACTATCGGACGGCAGAACACGAAACCACCACACTCCAGCCGGGGCGGGGAATAGCTACGCACTGCGCAGGGCACGGGGCAGCCGCTGACCCGACCTTTGGCCGCTGACATGACGCACAGTGTCCTTCTCCACAGTGTCCTCTGAGATCGCATCGAAACGCGGCAATCGTATGTTATAGTTTTATTCCATTGTTTTAGCTTCACTCATGTACAATTTTTACGACATTTCAGCACCATTTCACCATTAAATTGGCGTTTTACGCTCATACTATTTTCACGCCAGGCTGGATCAGGTCATAGAGCGGTCGCGACCCCACTGGCATCGAGCCAACTCGGTGGTGCACGGTGGAGCAGAAGGAATATTGAAGTAGATAAAATATTTAATTCATCTGAGATGACATCAGAGGAAACGCCTTGAACAAGGGTAATGGGTTTAGCGCTTACACTGCTGAAATTCGATATAAATAGTTCATATCGTTCTGCATGATGCCAGTATAAAAGATCGTCTGAATTTGCTCTTGAAGTTGAATGGAAAATTGTAACGAATCAAAAATGTATGCTGCATATATTTGCCATTTTAATGCGCACTTTAGGTACTAGCACTTGTGTGCGTGCATAGCCGATCTTTTAATGTGCATTCTGACCGAAGAAATCTGACAGGACGGGCGGTACGTAGTGTGTACCAGATCTTCACCAGACGAGTCATCCTTACTAGAACTTCCCTAAGCTCTCAATTGTGCGTGGTGCTTCTAAGAAATCAAGCTGATAAATCAGCTAGCGGTACTACACGCTCCTTTCCTGGAACCATTACCATAAGCTGAACACCAAGCCTTCTCATCCCATCCCGGCCAGATAAACGATAGACGGTGAGGAAACAATATATCCTGGGCAAATCTCACTCGCCCATCGCAGAAGCAGCATCCTGTTTGAAATGAGTCGGCGCTCACTGTGACTGTCCTACCAGACGGCGTAGTGAGCGGCGTGAGGGGACTCTCACTAAGGCGCCGCACGGTCGTAGTGACGCAGGCCCAGCGGGGAGCGGCATCCATCTGTGTTTGTTCGAGTCACTCGGCTGTAGCGGCTCTCGCAGATTCAAATCCATTCAGCTTAGCGGTGCGCAGCTACCGCGATTTACCGTCGCACCGCTTGCCAAATGACGTGATTGACCTGAGCATCCGGTCCCTTCGACCGCCGGTTTGGAGTGGCTGCTGAGTTTACTTAGTGAGCCGCGCCTCACTCGGGCTAGCCGGCAAACACAGCCATATGTAATGTGTGGTGTCAAATATTTGGAGTGGCTCACAACAGCCTGGGGTCTCCCCTCACCGGAAAGTTGCTCAAATTACGTCAATGGGTTCCAAAGTGAGAGATGTCCGTCGCTGTTTAACTGGCTGATTGTCCCAAACTGAGAATGATTCACATGCTACACACGCTGACTATGATGTATAGGTAGGTGGTTACTCCTTGATGCTGCCGTCTAGCCCAATGCATACAATTTGGCTGTGGTAAGAGTGATTGGTATGCCATAAAGCAGCCGCTGTATGCAAAGAGCTGTGAGATCACCGGCACTTGACGTCAAAACCTGTGGGTATGGTCACAGCAGCGGTCTGCTGTCTTCTCGCCATCCATCTATTTCTTTGCAGAAAAGGAGTGGAAGAGTTTTATGTACGAGTTTTATGTACGAGTTTTATGTACGAGTTTGTACGAGTTTTATGTACGAGTTTTATGTACGAGTTTCTCGTATTTGCGCATGACCTGAAATCAAAGTTGAATGGTCACAGATACTGTAAGTGAACAATCTTACTTATATAAGTGATGCATTACCATATGGAAACGCTGAACTTAAGAAAGGAGAGAAAACTCCGGAACTCTCTTTAAACAGAGGAGAAAACTCCGGAGAAAAGGGGTGACAATCAGAACTCATGGTTTTAAAACTGCCATTTCATACGACTCCACGCGGTAAATGTCACCAGACTATGCTTATGCACACATATCCTGGAGCAATTAATATGCAGATTAGCATGTAATTTTATTTGCCAATAGGCATACTGCTAAACTATTATTTTTTTAATTGACTCTTACGATTGTTTCAGGGGATGGTGGCGTCTCATGCAGTGACATTTATACCGACGCCACAATTGCGTCATCATCACAGGCTATTTGACAACAGATGTTGCGATATGCACATACTGGTGTAAGTTAAATGCTACGGTCTAAAAGGGGTGAGATGCCCTTTTGTTTAGCCGTGCTTTTAGGTGACATCGCAAGGATTAGTCGCTCGTAAGAAGGAAATACATTTTTATTTTCACCCTTTCCTGAATGGTTTCTAGCTACTGTTTGTTTAAGGATTTGGTGGGCACTCCACCCAACACATACCTACTTTCAAATCTGCTGCACGCTAGATGCACAAAAACAAAATGTCAAAGAGGCTTGCCGCCGTGCAACGTCATCCAACGACGTCACTGTATGACGTCAATGTTTGTTGGTTGCGTGTGACGGCATCACATGACGTCATAATGTGACGTCAGAGGAAAATATCGTTTTCACGGCGTGTGATATAGGGTGAAAGGTCTGCGGAGGGAACCGCCGCCCTCAATCCACCAGGGGATTCCGCTTAACACGTTCACCGACGCCTTTTTTACTAGATAATCAGCGTTTATCCATAAAAATATGACCAATCTTCATAGCAAATTTGGGAACTTTCGTTAGATACTATAGATTCTAAGCCAGGTCTCTACTCATCATTTCTTTTAACTGGGTTGTTTTCTATGCTTCCAAACTGGAATATTGTATTCATGGCGGCAAATGGTTCGGTAAAACCCACGTTTATTAGAACTGTCCATGACATGTGCTAAATCTGACAAAAATGTATTATGTTTTTTTTTTAATCCACATAATCCAGCTTGATCGACAGATGTCATCCACGTATGCTTACAGTTACTCACCGAGCCAACATCTATATGCGCTTATTGCAAGTTGTCGGCGACCATATTTCTGATTTCTGTGACCCCCCCCCCCCCCCTATTGGCAGGGCAATTCCAGGGCGTGGCAGTCATAGGAAGGGTGGTAACGGTGCTACTGTTCGTCAGGAACTGTTTTCGCGGACACAATAATGCCAAAAAAATGTAATTTTAGTTTTGAAGGGCTCATCGCTCACGAAGTGCGACAATCACCAGGAAAATCGGAAGGAGCCAGTGTCATGCAAACCCGAAGGATGCCATGGGAATTAGCGCGGACAAACCGAAGGCCGGCTAAATCCTTTGTATTGAAGGTAAACATTTTAATGAATTTATTGGTTTTGTCCATTTTATCACTTACATCATAATTCATATTACCTGAATGACGTTCCGATAAGCAGTATAGGTACTTGATGAGATGGAGACGATTGTGTTCTGCATCTTAACCCTCGCCCTGGCAGGACATTTTTCATAACACGGCCTGGCGGGGGGGGGGTCGATGCGACCTCCCCCCCTCGCCATTGGCTCCTATGGAACACCAAATTTGGTAGGTAGGTGGACCCCCTGGAGTTCTCACCCCTGTGCAAATTTGGTTGCTCTAGGTCAATATTTAGGGGGGTTTTGGGGGGTATAAATGTAAAAATTTCGCTAAAAACAGGTCAAAAGTTTTTCGCTTATACCTTTTGATCTAATTAAGATAGAGCAAAAGGAAAAGCACCAGTGAACTCAGCACGTCAAGGCGCGTCGAATGATATACTTTTTAGCTTGCTTAAGTGTACTTAAAGTTTTTCTACTTAAATTAATAAATTAAGTTCAAGTTAACCAAATTGCATCTAATTGCATATCATTCGATTTGGCTGATCACCAGGAACACAATGACACCATTTTTAAGCTCTAACGTCATTATGTGCCAAGTTATCAGCAAAAACGTCATTTGACCTCAGTTGACCTCATTTGACCTGACCCATGGATAAGTACACCAAACAAAGAAACATCAAGTGACCTGCTGTTAAGTACTGTGGTTTCAAAGCACAAAAGTGATAAAACGAAGGGGATATCTCCAGTATTTTCCGAATTTAGTATTTTCCCATAGGCTTAACATTACGACATAATGACCTCTAACCGACCTCAGGTCAGTGACCTAAAAAAAACTCGAACTATATGTTATACAACTCGGTGAACTTAGCACATCCTGAAAGATTGAAGGAAATCAGTCCAAAACTGTGAGTTGGACAGGTGCAAAAAGAAAGTTGAAATTTGACCATGACCTTGTACCGGTTTTTCTGACCTGGTGACCTGACCCAAGGTCACCCGGACCTGAAATTTTCAGGTCATATGTAAAAAGGTTGCCCCATAGGCTGTGCTAAATTTGGCGGCGCTGCGCGCCGCCGTTTTTATGCTATCTTCGAAAAACCTCAGGGGGGGGGGTCGCATCGACCCCCCTGCCAGGGTGAGGGTTAATTGAAAATGGAGAATCGCTCACAGTAATGCATACGCATACATAAAAAATAAAACTACCTAATTAAAAGAAAAAATAACAGTTGAGCATAAACGCAACGCCTTTCAAGGTTGACAGGGAAGTTTAGGCATTCGTGTTATCTGTTGTTATAAGGCAATGTTGTTGTCGCCTAGCGGCACATTACAAGCCGAAAATATTTCAGTGAAAAATATTTTCTATTACCTTTCTGTACATCCTATATTATCATATAAGTATAATGATATGATTAATCTGTAGGTCAAGCAATATTCATTATGTTTGATATGCAATATGACTGGCCAGGGGCAGCGCCCTCAGAACAGTTTCGTGTACCACTTAATTGGAACATGCTTTCTTTGACATTGAGGAAGAGCAATTTTCAAACAAGGCGAAAACTGATGTGTGATGAATATTTATGATCGTATAAGTTAAATGTTCAATATCTCACAAAGTTCTGCTAATTACAGGGGAAACAGCTGCGTTCCCAGGATCGCTTCGCTGTCATTTTAATACCCACTCGTGTATGCTATAAGCATGGATGAGATAATAATCCATGTGTTATATCATCCATGCTATAGGTAAGTATAGG